TGGCCCCAAAGCTGTTCAAAAACAGAGAAGAAGCAGGGGCCAGTGCCGCGGCTCACTTGGTTAATCCTCCGCCTGTGGCGCTGGCATCCCATATGGGCACCGGGTTCTAGTCCCGGTTTCTCCTCTTCCAGTCCAGCTCTCTGCTGTGGCCCGGGATGACAGTGAAGGATGGCCCAAAAATGCTTGGGCCCTGCACCCGCATGGGAGACCAGGAAGAAGCTCCTGACTACTGGCTTCGGATCAGCATGGCTCTGGCCGTAGTGGGCATTTCGGGGGTGAACCAACGGAAGGAAGACCTTTCTCTCTGTCTCTCTCACTGTCTAACTCTATCTGTCAATTAAAACAAACAAACAAAAAAACAGAGAAGCAGCAGCATTTAGCTGCTGAATCCCTGTGGGCAGTGCCCAGTGGGGAAGGCCACTCCGCGCCCTGATATTGAAAGACCATCTTACAGTGAGAGCCCAGCTCCCCGGGGAATGTTTTCGCTCACATGCCTGGTGCCGAGGCAGACTGCCAGCGGGGTTTGTTTGCCGCTGCTGAGGCGTGGCCGTGAGATGGGTCATCTGTGACGAGAGGTTCATGCTGGCTCCCGGTTCTGGGGCCTGGAAAGTTCAAACACACGGCACCAGCATCTGCTCAGCTTCTGCGGAGGCCTCGTGCCGCTTTAACCCAGGGCGGGAGGTGGAAGGGCCAGCGGCCACGTGTGGCAGGGACCCCCAGGGGAGGCCGCCATGCTGAAACCACCTGCTGACCTGCTCTCTGGCCGGTCCCGGGGGCTTGGCCACTCACTCAGGCAGAGAAGGAGCTCCCGCCCTCGGGAGCAGCATGGGTGGCCCCAGCACCATCACAAATGAGACCAGATTCCAGCAGGGTCTCCCCAGGGCACCCCACCCCCGCCCCCAGCAGGAGAGTGAGAAGGGAAAGGGGTGGAGCTGGAGGGAGGGCCCCTGGGCTGAGGCGCTGGCTCAGGGTCCGTTCTGGGCTGCTGGTTCCTGGAGACGGGGGTGGTGAGCACGGCCAGCGTCTCAAGTCACGTTCTGAACACCTTTCAGGAGCTACAGGAAGGCACGCGTGTCGGGCTCCGTAACTGCTTATGAGCAAGGTCATTGCTGCTTCACAGATACTTTTTTTTTTTTTTAATTTTTTTGACAGGCAGAGTGGACAGTGAGAGAGAGAGACAGAGAGGAAGGTCTTCCTTTGCCGTTGGCTCACCCTCCAATGGCCGCCGTGGCTGGCGCGCTGCGGCCAGCGCACCGTGCTGATCCGATGGCAGGAACCAGGTGCTTCTCCTGGTCTCCCATGGGGTGCAGGGCCCAAGCACCTGGGCCATCCTCCACTGCACTCCCTGGCCACAGCAGATAGCTGGCCTGGAAGAGGGGCAACTGGGACAGAATCCGGCGCCCCAACTGGGACTAGAACCCGGTGTGCCGGCGCCGCAAGGCAGAGGATTAGCCTAGTGAGCCGCGGCGCCGGCCCACAGATACTTTTTAATAAGGCTATTTTTGCCTGACATGGTGACCCTCTGAAATGTGTACATGCAGATCGCCCATCTTCAGTGTTGAATCTTTTTTTTTTATTTGCAGTGCATATTTCTTTTTTAATTTGAAAGAGTAATGGGTTTTCTTCCTCAAGTGCCAGCAACAACCAGGGCTGGGCCGTGCCAAAGCCAGGGGTCAGGAACTGAATCCAGGTTTCGCACGTAGGAGGGGAGCCAGGACTTGAGCCATCACCTGCTGCCTCCCAGGGTGCACGTCCACAGGAAGCTGCCTTGGGAGCAGAGGCGGGACTCCATCCCAGGCACTCCAGTATGGACTTGGACATCCCGAGTGCCGGCTTAACCCCTGGCCACAATGTCCACCCAGGTGTTGGACTCCATAAGGCATTCATTGTGGTTTCAGAGGAGTCCGCTTGACAAATGAAACTTCCAAAAGTTTTATTTGTATTGTGTGAATTGGATAGGAGAAACATTTAATGACTGGGATCAATGGATTTGCTATTTTAAGTGTCTGGCATGGATATAAACCTGCATTATTTTCTATTAAATATTTCAATGATTGAGACCACACATACTGCTTTACTCATTTGACGTGCCTGAAAACACAGAATAAAAACTCAGTAACTTTAATCCTGAAATGTTACTTAATTTAAATCAAAGGTCATGTGTCAAAGTAATATAAAAATAAACCTCCTGCATCACACAAGTCATTATTTTCAGACACAGTTCGATTGTAGAAGTTAGCAATCAAGCCAAAATGCACATGCACATGGTAGTTCATATGTTATCTCCACATGTGTCCAGTGATGCCATTACATTCCTCAGGATAAATTCAAATACTGCCAAATGTTATGAATAACTTATACATTTATTATAAACCTTTTTTTTTTTTTGAAAGGCAGAGCCACAGAGATAGAAGGAAAGACAGAGAGAGAGAGAGAGAGAGAGAGAGAGAGAGAGAGATTTTCCATCTGCTGATTCACTCCTCAGATGGTGGAAGCCAAGAGCCCAGGACTTCTTCAGGGTCTTCCACGTGGGTGCAGAGGCCCAAGCACTTGGGCCATCTTCTGCTGCTTTCTCAAGTGCATCAGCAGGGAGCTGTATCTGAGGTGGAGCAACCAGACTCAAATTGGCACCTATATATGATGCCAGGGTCACAGGCAGAGGCTTAACCTGCTAAGCCACAATGCTGGGCCCTATTATCTTTTTTAAGATATTTATTTTATTATTTTATTTCTTTAAAAGATATATAGAGATGGAGAGTCAGAAAGACATCTTCCTGGCCCAAGTCCATGGGTCTCTGCATCTGCATGGGAGACCTGGAAGAAGCTCCTGATTCCTGGCTTCGCATCAGCCCAGCTCTGGCCATTGTGGTCATTTGGGCAGTGCACCAGTGGATGGAAGACCTCTCTCTGTCTCCCTCTCTCTGTAACTCTGCTTCTGCTAAGCCCTGGTCATTGCCTGGGCAAACCCTGGCTATGGCAGGCATTTGGCAGAATCAGCAGATGGGACGTGGATTCCTGCCTGTCTCTGTTTTTCTGCCTTTCAAATAAATAAATGATTTTATTAAAAACAAACTGCTAGTGCGACAGCAGTGTTGATGGGGAGCCCAGCGTTCCATCAGGACGTAGCACAGTCCCGTGATGGCGCCATGGAAGGAAGCACTCGAAATGCACGCCACCCAAGGACACCTGACAAACGCAGGCAGGTCTTGAATTACACAAAACTGAAGCCTCGACCCTCAGGCAGCCCTCATGTGGGGCCGGCAGGTCCCAGGACATGCCACGCCTCCTAGAGCGGCAGCCATGGACTTGCGTCTCCAGTCACAAAGGACAAGGCCTGACGGGATGAAGTTGAGGACAGCACACGCCACAGCTGGAAGTTCTGGAAGTTTCAGGCAAATCTGGGGATTTTAAAGGAGACAAAAAGTTTGGAAAGCGGCCCAAGCAGCAGTAAGCCAAGTCCCACTCCTGTGTCCCCTGTCTCATTCAAATCCCGAAGAATTACTGGTATTTGGATCCATCACATATCTCGTTGGAGACTTTGGCACTTAGTACTGTATGCTTTGAACTTGAGCTTCCTGTTGCTGATAGTGCGTGCCCTTTGAGCTAACTGATTACGAGAACCCAGCAGAGAGAAACTTTTATTTATTGATTACAATTTTTATTTATTGGTGAAGCAGAGACCGAGACAGAGATCCAGAGAGAGCTCCCATGTGTCATTCACTCTGCAAATGCCCAGAAGAATGAGACAGGTCTAAGTCAGAGGCTAGGAGTGGAGCTCAATCCAGTTCTCCCACGCGGGTGGCAGGAACCCAACGCTTGCACCACCCCTGCCTCCCAGGGGCCGCCCTGGCAGGAGCTAACCAGAGTCAGGAACTCAGTGGTCAAGAGGTCAATATTCGTCCCTAGAGAGCCTGGGTCTGATTTTCAGCTTCTGGCTCCTAATGTGGCCCAGGCTCTGCTGCGGTGAACATCTGGGGAGTGAGTCGGCGGAGGGGGCGGTCTGTGTGTCGCCTTCTGTCTAAATGTTTCAAAAAAGAACAACAGTGATGTAATATCACAGGAACAACTCAAGGACGAAGTCTGCTTGTTGTCTCCAAGGTCACAGCCATCTCCATGGCCAACAAACTGGCCGCCCTGGGAACAGCCTTGGTGCAGCAGGTTAAGCTGCCGCCTGTGGCACCCTCACCCGGTACTGGAGTGCTGGTTCCTGTCCCAGGTGCACGCACTATCAACCCAGCTCCTTGCTAACCCGCCTGGGAAAGCAGTAGATGATGGCTCAAGGCTCCGGGCGCTGCCACCCACATGGGAGACCAGGATGGACTCCTGGCTCCTGATTTTGGCCTGGCCCAGCCCTGGCTGGTGCAGCGACTGGGGAGTGAACCAGTGGGTGGCAGATCTCACTCTCTCTGTTTTTCCCTCTCTCTGTCACTGAAGCTTTCTAACAAATCCTTTTTTTTAAGAAAGGTATTTTCCCTCGGGTGTAGAACCCAAGGCTCACAGTTGTCACTGGTAACTGGGCTGGGGGAAGCAACCCGTGCCAGGGGGGCGGCAGCCTTTGGCTGGCGAGCCTCAGCCTCGGGGCCACAGGACACTGAGGTCACCCACCCCCTGCACTCTGCTCCATGTGCCCCCCAGCCACAGCGGGGAGCTTAGGCGCTCTAGCCCTGAGTCTTGGGACTGGCTCACAGCTCCCACACCCAGTTCACTTCCGGGGACAGGCCACCCCAAACCAAGGTCATCGGCGAGAAGCCACAGCCATGCGGAAGTGAAAAGAAGTGTCGATGCCCGTGCAGCACACATCCGTGGGCCCCGCCGCTCGCCCTGCCCCTACCGCCGGATCCCACCTCCAGCCCCGCCCCCACTGCCAGCCCCGCCCTGTCCCCGCCCCAGTAGGCCCCTAGCCCCTCCCATGGTGGGCGTGGCCTGACCACCCTTAAACACCAGTCCAGCGGCTCTACCCGCGGGCCCTCAGCCGACAGCTGTGACCTGCGCCCGAGCAGCCAGGCCTGCCGCCGCCGCCAGCATGTCCTGTCCGGTGAAGAAGCGCCTGCCCGCCACCGTGCTGGGCGCCATGGAGTTCGGGCGCCGCATGGACGCCCCTTCCAGCGCCGCGTCGGTGCGCGCCTTCCTGGAGCGCGGCCACAACGAGATAGACACGGCCTTCGTCTACGCAGAAGGCCAGTCTGAGACCATCCTGGGCGGCCTGGGGCTCGGGCTGGGCGGCGGCGACTGCAAAGGTAAGGGCTGCCCCTGACAGCCGACCTTCCCGACAGGCCCAGACCCACCCCCCAGCTCCGAACCCTGGTGTCTCCTGGAACAGCTCTGCTGGGCCCTCCTCTGGAGCACTGAGAACTCCAGACCCTCGATGTAGGAGCCTCAGCGGCTCCCGACTCCCTGGTCGGCAGAACCCTGCCCTTCCCACCCTGGCGCCGGTTGGCACAGCTCCCAGCAGACTTAGGAACGCCAGGCAGACCACGTAGCGGAGACCTGCTTCCTGCATAGCCCGGGCCAGTCTCGCCCCAGGCCCTCGACTTTGCTCCCAGGGCCCTGTTGGATTGGCAGCACCACCTACACCCGGGTGCCGCGGTGGCTCCTGAGCAGATGGGGAGTGGGGAACAGCGTCTGCGGCCTCCCCTTCTGGGCTCTGTCTGAGGCTCCAGGATCCACACCCACCCTCCTGCAAGCCCAGACCCAGGGCGCCTGGGAGAGAGCCCCTGGAGAAGTCAGGTCTGAAAGGAAACATTGCAGGCCAGCTCCCTCTCCCGACTTCCTGCTGCTGCATCCCTGGGAGGCAGCTGTGATGGCTCTAGTTGGGTCATTGTCGCACAGGTGGAAGACCCAGATCCAATTCCCAGCCACCAGGCATTTGGGAGTAAACCAGCAAACGAATCAGAAATCCATCCTGTCTCTCTGTCAAGAAGGAAAGGGGTGGGGGGAGAGGAGGAGGAGAGGAAAGAGAGCTGCAGGCAGTGGGCACGAGTGTGCAAAGGCACTGCGTGGCTGTGTGCTGGAGGAGCCACGGCAGCTTCGGGAGGCTGTATCATGGGGGCCTGCTGACTCTGAGGCCGTCGGAAGAGGCCGGAGCCCTGCCTGGCACACACAGGGCAGCCTCAGAAATGTCCCTGGTGGCTTTGCTTGCATTGGCACATGTGGCCTCCTTGCACGCTGAGCCTTTGTCCCCGGTTCAGATGAGAGAGCCCCACCACCCTCGGCCACGTGGACCTCCGTGGCCTCTCTGCGGATCCCCCACTGCCTCCCAGGGAGACGCTGATCTTTCCCCTGCTTTGCTGTTTTCCTCTCCAACTCCTTCTCTTCCGTCCTTGAGGCCAGGCCCAGCGGGGTCCAGGTGGTCCTCAGATCTCAGATCTGAAGCCCCCATCCAGAAGGGGAGGGGTGGTGGTGGGAGGGGAGAGTCCCTCGTGAGCAGGTCTCAAACCCATTCTCTCCCAGGTCACGAGGGCTCTGCTCACTGCCTCTACCCAGCAAGTGACTTTCTAAGCATGAAAAGTGTGAGAGGGTCTCTCCTCTTCCTCCTCCACCAGCCAATCCCCGGAGGGGCTGGGGAATATGTACGGAGCTCCCCGCACTGAGCTGGAGGCCAGCCATGTGCCTGTCCTACGGGGATGAGTCTGCCTGACCCCTGCCTCTCCTTCCTTGGGGCCCTCATGGACGCCTCTCACATCTCTGTCTTGAATCCTGCTCAGCCTCCTTACTGGTCTCCCTGTTTCTAGACAGGCTTTTGTCCATGCTGCCTTCAGGGCCATCTTCCAAGCCTACCAGGCTGAGCACTGGGCGCCTGTCCTACAAGCATTCAGAGGCTCCTATGGGCCCCTGTGTCAGGATTCCAGAGAGTGCACCCAGGTCCGGGACCTGGTCTGCGGCCCTTCTCTTGCTCTGTCTCTCCCTGGACTTGGGCAGGGGCTCCCACACGCGGCGCTCCTGCCTCCTCCTTTAACCTGTGTCCCACGCTCTAGACGAGCTTCGCCCAATTCACAGACGGCAGCCTCTGTCTAGCCAAAGCCTTCCTGAACTCCCAGGCAGGCTCCCGAGTCTGTGCACTGGGCTTTTTCTTTTTCTTTTTTTTTTTTAAGATTTATTTTACTTATTTGAAAGACAGAGTTGCAGAGAGAGATAGACAGACAGAGAGGTCTTCCATCCACTGGTTCACTCCCAAATGGCCAGAACGGGTGGAGCTGGGCTGATGTGAAGCCAGGAATCAGGAGCCTCTTCCAGGTCTCAAATGTGGGTGCAGGGGCCCAGGCACTGGAGCAGCTTCTGCTGCTTTCCCAGGCCATAGCAGGGAGCTGGATTGGAAGTGGAGCAGTGAGACTCGAATCAGTGCCATATGGGATGCTGGCATTGTAGGCTGGGGCTTTAACCCACTGCGCTACAGCGCCGGCCCCTGCCCTGGGCTCTCCTAGCAGAGTGGCCCTTACACCGTGAGCCCTGGAGGGCAGGGAGCATGTGGCCTCAGGGCCAGGCCTGGCCTGTGCAGCTCACCAGAAATTGTCCCTGTGGTGGGGACCTCCCAGCTCTTCCTGACCACGCTCAGCCGGGTTCTGATCAAGCCTCAGGAGCTCCCTACAGTCAGAGCCATTCCCACGCCGACTTTCAAGGTGAGGGGATGGGGACTCAGAGAGGAAAAGTAACAAGTTCAAGGCCCCGGAGCTGGGGACGGCAGAGCTGAGATGTGCAGCAGGTCTCTCTCTTCACGGTTCCACCGCACCCCGTCTGATGCTTGGGAAACTGACATGAGCCTCCATTTGTCTCCCTTCCAAGTGAAAATCGCTACCAAGGCAATTGCAATGGATGGGACGACATTGAAACCCGACAGCGTCCGGTTCCAGCTGGAGACGTCGCTGAAGCGGCTGCAGTGCCCCCGCGTGGACCTCTTCTACCTGCACATGCCTGACTACAGCTCCCCACTGGAAGACACGCTGCGCACCTGCCACCAGCTGCACCAGGAGGTGAGGGCGGCCCTGAGCTTCTTCTCGTCCTGTTCCCACCGGGAGAGTGGGGGCAACCGGGGCAGTCCCAGAGAGGAGTGGGAGCACGGCACGTCCCGCGTGCTCCTTCCTGGTCTCCTGGGCAGCACTGGTCTGACCGCAGCCTCTCCCCGCAGGGCAAGTTTGTGGAGCTGGGCGTCTCCAACTACTCCTCCTGGCAGGTAGCCGAGATCTGCACCCTGTGCAGGAGCCGCGGCTGGATCCAGCCCACCGTGTACCAGGTGAGGGCTGCGCTGTGGACCGGGGCTGCAGGGTTCTGCTCTCCTGGGATCCTGCGCCCTATGGACGGCCCCTGCACTCCGATCCCTCCATGAACAGATCCCAGGTGGCGCTGGCACTGGCACACGTCCTAGCTCCTCAGCTGGGCCCAGGCACCTGCTCCCCCCAAGCTCGGGTGTGCACTAGGTGCCTGCCTTCCCCGCTTGGCTTCCCACTGCAGCCTGGCACGGTGCTCCCCTCCCTGGGAGGAGCACTCAGGTCTCACCCAGGTGGCTCCTCCCTGGGAAGCTTTCCCCATGGCTCTCAGGCCTCCCCAGCCCCGACCTCCCCCTCCCTCAGTCAACAAATGATTGTCCTCCACGCGGTGAGCACCAGGCGTGGGCCCAGAGCTTCCCACTGTACATGGATGGCCTCTTTCCATGGTTGCACCTGTTTACTGTCTGCCTTGCTCTAAGTTATTATTGGAGGGACATGGTCTTTAGGCTGTGGGGTCTCTGGTACTGAGCCAGAGGGTGCCTAGCACTGTGGTTGAATGAAGGAATTCTCCTTAGACATACGCACCCCGTAAGTATATGCCACATCCCTGATGGTTGATGTGCTAGGATGGTAAGGACTGAACGGAGGGTCCCACAGGGTACTGTGGGCCCCCCTGCAGCTGGTGCCTCTCCCCCAGGGCATGTACAACGCCATCACCCGCCAGGCTGAGAAGGAGCTGTTCCCCTGCCTCAGGCACTTTGGGATGAGGTTCTACGCCTTCAACCCTTTGGCTGGTATGCATCCCCCTGGGGACAGCTCTCCTGGGGTGGGAGCCCAGGCCCTGCTCTGTCTCTGCTGCTCCTGCCCCGGGGGACACCCAGCCAGGGCCTGGGAAGCAAGGGGGGCCATGGGAGGAGGGGGCAGGCAGCTTGCTGCCTTCTGTGGCCTCCCTCCAATCCTGGGGCTCCCACCTGTGGTCCAGGGCCCTGAGGGGTCTGGCCGCCTGTGGGAGGGCTCTGGGCCAGGGGTCTGACAGCAACCTTCTTGCAGGGGGCCTGCTGACGGGCAGGTACAAGTATGAGGACCAGGATGCAAAAATAAAGCCGGAGGGCCGTTTCTTTGGGAATAGATGGTCTGAGATGTACAGGAATCGGTGAGCTGGGGCTGTCTGTGTCTGGATTGGGATGGGAGGTGTCTAGCTGTTTGGGGGAATCTCTTGCCACCCGCACCTACATCTTTTGAACCATCCTGGAATTGCTGCAGCCTTGGTGGGGTTTCTTCTGCTTTTCTTGGGGCCTCTGTGAGGAGTGGGGGTCCTGGGCCCACGTGGTCTTCCACGTCCTAGCTCTGCCCTGAGAAGTCACCTGCCGGGCAGGAAAGACAGAACCAGAGCTGGAGGCTCAGGAGCCTGGGCCGGCCCTGTCTCTGCTCCATGGTGGCCCTGGGTCAGATGGGGGCAGGTGCGTGATTCTCAGGAGCAGAGATGTCGTCGGGGCCTCTGGGGAGGCTGATGTGGAGGGGACACGCCCCTCTGTGCAGCAGGGTAGGCGGGACTGCTGGCCGCCTGGCTCTCTGGCCCTGGCCCCCAGTGCCACCCCCGTGGGTCTGACCCCTGTGCCTGTCCCCACCCGCCCAGCTACTGGAAGGAGGAGCACTTCAAGGGCATCGCCCTGGTGGAGAAGGCCCTGCAGGCTGCATATGGCAGCAGCGCCCCCAGCATGACCTCGGCCGCCCTGCGCTGGATGTACCACCACTCCCAGCTGCAGGTAAGCGCGCTGCCCTGGGCCCCAGCGTCCGCTCCTCTAGGGGGCCAGAGGGGACTGCTAGAGTTTGTCTTATCTCTTTGTGAAATTTCTTATTTTTTTAAGATATGTATTTATTTGAAAGGCAGAGTTACAGAGAGGCAGAGGCAGAGAGGAAGAGAGAGAGATATATATATATAGAGAGAGAGGTCTTCCACCCTCTGGTTCACTCCCAAATGTCAGCAAAGCCCAGCACTGGGCTGATCCAAAGCCAGGAGCTTCTTCCAGGTCTCCCACGTGGGTGCAGGGTCCCAAGGACTTGGGCCATCTTCTACTGCTTTCCCAGGCCATAGCAGAGAGCTGAGTCAGAAAGTGGAGCAGCCAGGACATGAACCAGCGGCCATATGGGATGCAGGCACCACAGGCAGAGGCTTTGCCACAGTGCTTGGGTTGCAATTTGAACACAGCTTCAAGTGCAAAACCCATCAGTCTCACTCCTCTGCTGGGAGCTGGAGTTAGTTCTCTCTCTCCCTCTCATTTTCCCCAGTCTTCTTGGTCAAATCCTTTCTCCATCTGCATAGGACACTTGTATTGAGTGCCATGTACGAGGCTACTTGCAAATGAATTGGCAAAACAAACACTCAGGCATGCCGTGGAGGTGCCCACGGTCCACACCGGAGCTCTGGGTTCAGCTCCTGGCTCTGGCTTCTGACCCAGCTTCCTGCTAACGTAGACCAAGGGAGGCTGAATAGCTGGATCCCTGCCGCCCACAAGGGGACGCGTTTTGTGTCCCTATCTCCTGGCTCCCGCTCCTGCCCTCTCTGTCTGTCTGTTGCCTTCTCTGTCTCCTGATTTCTCAAATAATAATAATTAGAAAAACAGTTTTGGAAAACAGTTTAAATATAGATATATTTGGTGCCCAAAAAATCCCTTCAGCATGAAAGATCTCTCTATGTCTGTTGCTATGTCTGTCCAATATATGAAAAGTAATAATTAAATAAACATTTAAAAATTTTTTGAGGAGCCACCATTGTTGCTCAGCGAGTTGAACCACTCACTGACTGCAGTGCGGGCATCCCATAGAGACACCAGATGGAGCTCCTGGCTCCTGGCTCCAGCCTGGCCCAGCCCCTTGTGGCGAGTGAATCAGCAGACGGAAGGTCTCTGTCTCTTCCTCGCTCTGTAATTCTGCCTTTCAGATGAATAAATAAATAAAAATTTTAAAATATTTGTTTATTTGAAGGGCAGAGTTAGAGAGACAGAGACAGAGAGATCTTCCGTCTCCCAAGTCATTCCCCCAATGGCCACAATGGCCAGAGTGTGCCAATATGAAGCCAGGAGCCAAGAGCTTCTTCTGGGTCTCCCACGTGGGTGCAGGGGCCCAAGGACTTGAGCCATCCTCTGCTGCTTTCCCAGGGCACACCAGAGAGCTGGCTCAGAAGTGGAGCAGCTTGGACTTGAAATGGTGCCCATATGGGATGCCTCTGTCCCAGGCAGCGGTTTTACTCTCTACGCCATGGCACTGGCTCCAATTAAATAAACCTTTAAAAGAGTTTTGAATTCCATGCATACCAGAAACCTTCCAGCCACTCATGGACACTGTGTATTATGAAACATCTAAGCATGGGTTTCAAAACTCTTTTGAACCCAGATAGACTTTTCTTCCAATCCTGTTTCCATGACCTCCCTGCAGCGCCATCATGTGCAATAGGGCTCAGTAAATGGGAGCCGAGAGCTTTGCCTGACTTCTCACGCCCATAGCACTCTGAAAATAGAGAAGAGGGAGTCCAGGAGAGGTTAAAGAACCAAGTCGCGTTTGCACAGCTGCTGGGTGGCAGAGCTGGGCTCTGGGCAAGCAGGGTGGCACCCGGGCAAGGACACAGCCACAGAGTCACAAAGACACAGCCGCCCCCGACTCCTTGAGTCCTTTCTGGCACTAGAGGGAGTGACCAAACCGGGACACCACGGCGGGGCGGGCAGCTGGCTGGGCCGTGGGGGTGACGGCAGCCCCGGTGTGCACTGAGCTGACATCTGTGTCCCCCTTGCAGGGCGCCCACGGGGACGCGGTCATCCTGGGCATGTCCAGCCTGGCGCAGCTGGAGCAGAACCTGGCAGCCGTGGAGGAAGGGCCCCTGGAGCCGGCCGTCGTGGAGGCCTTCGAGCGAGCCTGGCACCTGGTTGCCCACGACTGCCCCAACTACTTCCGCTAGGCTGCTCCCGGCTCAGGCTGCCATGGCCCTTATCTGAACGCCTTCTCCGTCCCGCCCCCCCCCCCCCCCCCGCAGTCTCTGCCTTAGCTGAGGCCTCCAGACCCTCGGGGTCCATGCGCTCCCACTCCAGGCCCCGACCTGGGCCTGTGCCTTCGCAGTGCGGGCGGCCGAGGCCGATCCTGCAGGAGCTTTGCCTGCTGAGTGAGGCGGGCCCTTCCCTGGTGCAGCCTGCCCGGGTGAACCCCAACCTCGTCTCCTCTGCTGCTTGCAACTCATCCCGCAGCCCGCCCTGGGCCTGAGCGGGGGCTGAGCCAGGCGCTGGGTCTGAAAGGGCAGATGCGGTGGGAGGGGTCCCCAGGTCTCCTGGTCCCGGTGCCGGCTCCAGGCTGACCGCTCAGCAGTGGCTGCGGGCCCTCAGTCCTCCCCGGCCGCAGGGTGTCTCCCTCAGGAGCCTCGCTGGGTGCTTAGAAATGGGACCTCGGGGACGAGTCCCCGTGAGCGTCACCAGCAAGGACAAGGCCCCTCAGGAGGCCTGGCCCCTTTGTCACTGTCCCTGTCTCTGCCCTGGCTTCACTCTCACCCAGCTGAAGCCCCTGTCCTGCCCTCGGTAAGACTCGGCCTGGGCCTTGGCCTCCTTCGCTTGGGGTGGGGCACAGGCAGCCGGGTTCCGTGGCCTCTGCCAGTCCCTGGAGGCTGGGGGTAGAGGCCCAGGCCTGCTGGTGGCCCATCCCCCACGCGTCCAGTGTCTCCTGGCTTGGGTGAGGGCAGCTGGGGGCTAGCAGTTGGCATTCTCTCTCTCGAACTGACTTTCAAATAAATAAATAAATCTCTTTTAAAAATACCTATTCGTGGGATTATTTCCTAATACGGGTTTGTTGAGGCACAGGGAATAATATAACTTCAGTGTGTTGCAGTAACTGCACAGTAAGTCAGCTTCACGTTTTCATATTTGTGTTAATGGGATGCAAATAAATGTGTTATTTTTTTAATGGCAGCTAACTACAAAATTACTTATCTTTGATAGCATATTGGGTTTTATAATTACATAGGATTTGACTGGTGTTATACAGTCACAAATAATACACCTCAAATAAAACAATGAGACCGTATTGTTATAATTCACCAGATCAGGTTCAATAGATGTTTCTTTAGAAGGAATTACCTGCTTTTCTGTCCAGTCACCCAGTATAATGTCTTGCCCACTGTTAAGGGCTCAGTGAATTGCCACTGAACTTACTAAGAAAGAGCTGAGAAGACATGACTCTGTCAGCCAGAAGTCAAGGACCATCGGAATCCATGTGGAAAGAAGTGGTTAAAGGAGTGAGCTGTATGGGGCCACTGCTGTGGCGTAGCGGGTAAAGCTGCCGCCTGCAGTGCCGGCATCCCATATGGGCGTTGGTTGGAGTCTCGGCTGCTCCACTTCCGATCCAGCTCTCTGCTATGCCTGGGAAAGCAGGAGAAGATGGCCCAAGTCCTTGGACCCTTGCACCCGTGTGGGAGACCCGGAGAAGCTCCTGTCTTTGGACTGGCACAGCTCCAGCCATTGGGGCCATCTGGAGAGTGAACCACTGGATGGAAGACCTCTCTCTCTCTCTCTGCCTCTGACTCTCTGTAACTCTGCCTTTCAAATAAATAAATAAATCTTAAAAAAAAAAAGAGAAGTGAACTGTGTGTTGTATATTGCCAATATACTCAGATTTCAACAAAGCAAGAGATTAAGCCAAAAATACTAGCCCCAGAATAAACAAAGGCAGGGTTCACCAATAACAGCAAAAATGGAAATTTAAAAAAAGATTTATTTATTTGTTTATTTAAGAGACAGAGAGGCCAGCGCTGCGGCTCAGTAGGCTAATCCTCCGCCTTGCAGCGCCAGCACACTGGGTTCTAGTCCCAGTCGGGGCACCGGATTCTGTCCTGGTTGCCCCTCTTCCAGGCCAGCTATCTGCTGTGGCCAGGGAGTGCAGTGGAGGATGGCCCAGGTGCTTGGGCCCTGCACCCCATGGGAGACCAGGAAAAGCACCTGGCTCCTGGCTCCTGCCATCGGATCAGTGCGGTGCGCTGGCCGCAGCGCGCCGGCCGCGGCGGCCATTGGAGGGTGAACCAACGGCAAAGGAAGACCTTTCTCTCTGTCTCTCTCTCTCACTGTCCACTCTGCCTGTCAAAAAAAAAAAAGAGAGAGAGAGACAGAGATAGAAACAGAGAGAGGAACAGACAGAGAGGAACAGACAGATAGGTCTTCCATCTGCTGGTTCACTCCCCAAATGGCCGCAATGGCTGGGCTGATAAAAAGCCAGGAGCCAGGAGCTTCTTCCAGGTCTCCTATAGGGGTGCAGGGGCCCAAGGACTTGGGCTGTTTCCCACTGCCTTCCCAGGTCATTAGCAGAGAGCTGGAGAGGAAGTGGAGCAGCCGGGACGGGAAACGGCGCTCATGTGGGGACACCCGGAAGAAGTTCCTGGCTCCTGGCCTCTGTCTGCTTAGATGCTAAGCATGGCCTTACCTACTACGGCCATCTGGGGGAGTGAACCAGCGGATGGAAGATTCTCTCTCTCTCCTCTCTCTGTAACTCTGCCTTTCAAATAAATAAAATAAATCTTGGAAAAAAAAAAAAAACCTTAAACATTTAGTTACGGAGCCCGACACGCGTGCCTTCCCGTAGCTCCTGAAAGGTGTTCAGAACGTGACTTGAGACGCTGGCCGTGCTCACCACCCCCGTCTCCAGGAACCAGCAGCCCAGAACGGACCCTGAGCCAGCGCCTCAGCCCAGGGGCCCTCCCTCCAGCTCCACCCCTTTCCCTTCTCACTCTCCTGCTCCGGAGGTGGGGGGGTGCCCTGGGGAGACCCTGCTGGAATCTGGTCTCATTTGTGATGGTGCTGGGGCCACCCATGCTGCTCCCGAGGGCGGGAGCTCCTTCTCTGCCTGAGTGAGTGGCCAAGCCCCCGGGACCGGCCAGAGAGCAGGGCAGCAGGTGGTTTCAGCATGGCGGCCTCCCCTGGGGGTCCCTGCCACACGTGGCCGCTGGCCCTTCCACCTCCCGCCCTGGGTTAAAGCGGCACGAGGCCTCCGCAGAAGCTGAGCAGATGCTGGTGCCGTGTGTTTGAACTTTCCAGGCCCCAGAACCGGGAGCCAGCATGAACCTCTCGTCATAGATGACCCATCTCACGGCCACGCCTCAGCAGCGGCAAACAAACCCCGCTGGCAGTCCGCATTGGCACCAGGCATGTGAGCGAAAACATTCCCCAGGGAGCTGGGCTCTCACTGTAAGATGGTCTTTCAATATCAGGGCGCGGAGTGGCCTTCCCCACTGGGCACTGCCCACAGGGATTCAGCAGCTAAATGCTGCTGCTTCTCTCTCTGTTTTTGAACAGCTTTGGGGCCAGCATCGTGGTGCAGTGTGTTAACCTGCAGCCTGTGACACCAGCAACCCATAATGCAGTGCTACTTTGGGTCCTGGCAGCTCCACTCCTGCTCCAACCTCCTGAAACAGCCTGGGAGCACAACGGATGATGGCACAGGTACCTGGGCCCCGCCAGCCATGGGGGAGACCAGGAGGGAGCTGCAGGGTCCTGGCTCTGTCTGGCTCTTGGGGCTGTTTTTGGGAGTAAACCAGTGGATGGAAGGTCTATCTTTGTCTTTTTCTCTCTGTCATTTTTTTTTTCAAATAATAAATCTTAAAATAAATAAATAAAACATAACACATACAAGTGGTCAGGTCACTAGTGATTTTTTTACAAAAACAATTAAAAATTCGAAACAGCAGGGCTGGCGCTGTGGCGTAGCAGGTAAAAGCTACTGTTTGCGGTTCGAGTCCCGACCGCTCCATTTCCAACCAGCTCTCTGCTATGGCCTGGGAAAGCAGTAGAAGATGGCCCAAGTCCTTGGGCCCCTGCCCTGGCATGGGAGACCCAGAGGAAGCTCCTGACTCCTGGCTTCGGATCAGCACAGCTCAGACCGTTGTGGCCAACTGGGGAGTGAACCATCTGATGGAAGACCTTTCTCTCTCTCTCTCTCTACCTCTCCTTCTCTATGTAACTTTGACTTTCAAATAACTAAATAAACCTTTAAATCTTTAAATAAATCTTCCACTGCTTTCCCAGGCTGTAGCAGAGAGCTGGATGGGAAGAGGAGCAGCCGGGTCTCGAACTGGCGCCCACATGGGATGCCGGCACTGCAGGCCAGGGTGTTAACCCACTGCACCACAGCGCCGGCCCCTCCACTTTTTGTCTGTTATGAATGATGCTGCTGTGGACATTCCTGGAAGCCTCGATGTGGATACAAGTTTTCACTTTTCTGGACTAAATGCAGGAGGAGCGGCCTGGTGGGCCACACGACCTCTGTGCTTAATCTGGGAGAAGCTGCCAGCCTGCTCCCCCACGGCCCTTCTGGGCCACTTTCCCACCAGCAGGGTGGGAAGGCCCAAGTTCTGCAGATCCTCAGCGGCACTGTCTCCTTTCCCCTAGCCGTCCTAGTAGGTGTGGTTTGAACTGCTTTCTCCTGCTGAGTCATTGTGATCTTGGGCTTTCCCTCAGAGTAATGCCTTGAGCAGCTCCTGCCGTGTGTGTGTGTGTGTGTGTGTGTGTGTGTGTGTGTGTGTGTGTATGTGTCTCCTTGGAGAAAGGTCTGTTCTGGTCCTTGGCCCATTGTTCAACTGTTTGTATATGTTACTGTTGTAAGTGTGTTACCGGAGAAATTGCAGGGTTCTTGTCTTCGCGCAAGAAAGAATTCAGGCGTGAGACAGAGTAGTGGGAGGTAAAATAGCAAAGTTTGTTAGGGTAGGGACATCCGTAAGGACGGATGGGCACCTCTCCAGACAGGACCTGAGAGAGTGCCCAGTCGCTCAGAGTGGGAGGAGGGGAGTGAGGTTACATGGTTGAGTGGCGAGAGTACACCTGACCAGGCCAGGCAGGCAGAGAGGCAGAGGGCTGAGCGCACAGTCCGGTTGAGGCCGGGGGGTGGGGGTGGGGGGTGGGGGGTGGGGTGTTTAAGGAGATGGGTCTTTGTCTTGACACATCTCCTCCTGAAACAAAGGATTTTACGGCTGTAAATATTAAGAAGCTCCTGTCTGAGTTTTCCCCTGAAGGTATCAGACAGGAGGAAGCCTAGCTGGCGCCACCCTGGGTTCAGAGGAAGGGTGAGCAGGGCCCCCTAGAGAATGGGGATCCGGAGCAGGGTGTTTGAAATGCAGACACTAGACTGCATCTGGGAGATTGTGGAAGATTTGTCAGGCAGAAGGGGCGGGGCTCCCACCTGGCAGGTTATCAGGTAGAAGGGGGCAGGGCAGGAAGCGAATGCCCGGCTGCCCCTGAAGCATTATCGGGATGACTTTGAGATGTAGATGCATATGCTGGACATAGAAGTCTTCTCCGGAGGCCTTTGTCACACACACATAAGCTCATACCTAACTTCCTGCCCAACAGTTCAAGGGCGAGGAGTGCCCAGGGTTTACTCCTTTGGGCAATGAGGGAGCACGGCGGAGGCTCACGTCCTTGTTCCATCACTTAGTGTCCGCTGCTTCTCATTTTTCTTTCCTTGTTTGGGCTCTTGGTGTCTCAGCTAAGAAGCCACTGTGTAGCCCAAGGTCATGGAGATTCACTCCTATGCTTTCCCCTTACAGTTTTAGAATTGTAGCCCTTCCACTTGGGGGCTCAGTCCGTCTGGAGTTCATCTGGGCGACTGGTCTGAGCAAGGCTTCCATCCTGCAGCTTCTGCGTGAGGACACCCAGCTGGCCCAGCTCTGCGCGAGGAGGATGATTCTGCCCCCACCCAGTGGACGTGATGCCCGCCTCCAGGATCAACTCACTGACGCGTGCAGAGGAGTTTCAGGACCCTGCCTGCCCCTGAGTTACCTCTGTCCTTGTGCCCACACCACACTGTCACCACTGTAGCTCTCTAGCAAGTCCCAAATCAGGAGACACCAGCCTTCCAACTTGCTTTTTCCACATCACTGTGCTACTCGGGGTCCCTGGAATTTCCAGGTGAGTCTTGGGATGAGTTCGTTGCAGAACTTCTCTAAGAGAAAAGCTGGCAAGGATTTTTTTAAGGGTTGTATCAACGGGGGCCACTTCATCGAATTAAGCCACTCAGCTGCAGGAGGTGCACCGCTCACACCGGGGACTTCGGCTACAGATGAAACAGGAGGGCCACCTCCTTCTCTCTCTCTCTCTTTCTCTCTCTCTCTCTTTCATTTTTTAAATATTCCTTTATTTATTTGAAACAGTTACAGAGAGGCAGAGGCAGAGAGAGTGAGAGATCTTTCATCCCCTGGTTCACTCCCAAGTGGCTGCCACGACTGGAGCTGGGCTGATCCGAGGCCAGGAGCCTCTGAGATCAGAGTTTTATAAATTCATGACAGGGTCTGGATTTCCAAGTGAGCCCCTTTAGAATTTCAAGAGACAGCTCCAAGTGCTGGCTGCCTGCACTGCTGCCCTCAATATGTACTTGAAGCCTCATCCCAGCCCAGGTCTGGAGGGAGTCTAAGCAGGGAGATGGGGAGGATGGGCAAACAGCCACCAGCAGGCCTGGGCCTCTACCCCCAGCCTCCAGGGACTGGCAGAGGCCACGGGACCCGGCTGCCTGTGCCCCACCCCAAGCGAAGGAGGCCAGGGCCCAGGCCGAGTCTTACGGAGGGCAGGACAGGGGCTTCAGCTGGGTGAGACTGAAGCCAGGGCAGAGACAGGGACAGTGACAAAGGGGCCAGGCCTCCTGAGGGGCCTTGTCCTTGCTGGTGACGCTCACGGGGACTCGTCCCCGAGGTCCCATTTCTAAGGACCCAGCGAGGCTCCTGAGGGAGACACCCTGCGGCCGGGGAGGACTGAGGGCCCGCAGCCACTGCTGAGCGGTCAGCCTGGAGCCGGCACTGGGACCAGGAGACCTGGGGACCCCTCCCACCGCATCTGCCCTTTCAGACCCAGCGCCTGGCTCAGCCCCCGCTCAGGC